CCAAATCGTTCAGCCCTACTGGGTTTATTTTTTTCCAATTCACAGATGTCAAAAACCCATTATCTAAATGTTAACTAATAAGGTAATGTTTACATGCACATAACAGAGACACGGCTCCCCTATATTCAACACATCGCCACTGCTGAATTATGACCGCTGCTACTAAAATGCGAGCTTAACACTGAACGCTTGGTGAGCTTCCTCTCCTTGTTCATCAAAAAAAGGACATCTACCTGTCAGGTGCTGTTATAAGAGCAGTGGAGTTAACATTAACACCCTTTCAAGGAAAAATTACATCGGTTAGAGGCTCAATTAATCGTTCAACCCTACTATTTATTGTTTCATGTTTGAATGATAGCACAGCCCCTGAGAAACGCTCTCTCATTCTGTCCTGTACAAGTAGCTACACGGTCAGACTGACAATAAAGTCTTTGAATCTTGACTGTGAAACAACGTGATCCTGATTAGGTGCTCAATGGCTGCAAACACACGGCCTAAATGAGTCCTGACAGCTTTACGCCGTATGTGAAGGAGAGTGCGTACACCAACAACATGGAGCTGATCAATACCGGCTCTCCAGGAGTAAAACACGATGTTGATGGAGCGGTTAGTTCAAGTGCTTCTTTGTTTATCCTGTAAACAAAGAACACTGTGACTGTCAACATTTAGGCTATTCTTAATGAACTTATTCTGACTCAGTCCCACAGACACCGTCCTGCTGCACCAAATCCTCACCAGAGCACATCTGTTCATTTCATAGAAACTACAGTGAGCAGCTGTTTTATGAAATTACTGAGTATTTTTCAACACGAAACTATATATTTGTGTTTTTAAAAGATTTACGTCTTCAGCATGAACCAATGGGCTCGGAGCTGAAAGCCACAGACAGGAAGTCAGAGAGCAGTGAGAGAGAGACCAACACAGTGTTGGTTTCGGTTTGAGAATCAATCATAAGATGTTGAACAACACCAGCCTCATCCTGTCTTTTACTTTTTAAATTCATGTTTTAATAAGCTATCATTTGAACATTAGAAAAGTTAGAAGAGCTTTGCACTTACATCAGTTTAATGTTGATTATACCGCTTGCAGATGTGTAATATGTGCATATTCTTAAATTGAAACCATAATTATCACTCCAACTACTTCCTCTACTTGATGTATTGCCTTTTGGTTAATGTAATATGGTTTAAGTTAGCTCTAGGCGCCCTGCATGTTTAGTTTTATCTAATTTGTCCTGAATAAAAACTTGCAGATGCACAGAATTATTGTGTTTAAGCTTTTTTAGTTTGGCCATTTTGTGATATTAAAATATTTACTTTTGCTTATTCAGTGTAAGATTAAAAATATAAATACGGGTTTAAAGCTTTCATCACGGAAATGTGCATTTTAGAAGCTGTTCATGAACAAAATTGTTTACTGATTGCTACGCCAGCAGACAATGAAGAAAATCTGCTTCCCTGTACCAGATTGAGATGTCATCGTTTTGCTAAATGCTAACAAAGCTAAAGACCGTCGATAACAGATCTATAGGTTTCCACCTCACATCAGCTGAATTACTGTTTCCCAGATGCAACCAAAAGATCACCTGACCCCTTTCACGCTGCCTACAGGTCCCCGTCCACCACGGCCTCACAGTTTCTGGTCTCGCTGCAATTAAAAACTCTGAACTGTTCTCATTAAATCGGAGGAATTCTTCAGCGCTTGAGGGAAATATGTTTTTATAACCTGTGCCGAGGTCAATGTTACTATCTATACGACAACATTACACGCTGCAGTTTTGATAATGACATCAGGGTCCAACAAGGCAACAAGTGTAACAACAGGTTACACTTTTGTGCTAAGAACAAAAAACGGAAGGCATATATTAAACTGTATGAACTGGTTCGCTGTATCGTTTATTTTCCTTTAAGCTCACAGTTCTTTTTTCTGTGGTTACCCTATTTTTTATTTGTAGTAACTTGTTTGCAAGTGAAAACGGGGGGCAGTCATGGAAGGCTTTTAGCTTCACCCAGACAATGGCAGTTTATTCATTTCTACTATGATATTCTATACTACAAATATACAGCTTCGGTTTGACATTAGCATTGTTAGCTGCTAATGGCGGTCACTTGCAACCAATGGAAGCAAGTGCAACTCTGATGGAGCAAGCTACCAGCTTCTAAGAGCGAACTTTCGATCGTGCAAGGGTAGGTTTGGGTATCGTTTCAATCTTTATCGATACAGATTCTACTTATTGAATCCGGTCTTATTGAATCTCAGTTCTGGTTCCTTCACCACAGATCTTGTCTCGCTGAACTTCATCCTCTCCCTCCTCGCTCATCTTCCCCTTCATGGCTAAAGTGAAAGGAGTCTCTGTCCTAGAGGGGCGTCTCTGGGGACTCGTCTCTTAGAAAAATATATTGAATCATTTGCAGCATCGTTGGTTTCCCTTCAGTATAAAAGCTGAACGTCAGCTCAGACGTTGCTGCTGTTAGCGTTAGCTGGATCTGGGGCGTCATTGTAGCTGGGAGAGCGCGACACGTTGAACACGGCGCGTTCCTTCAGATTCACGCCGTGTTGAAGGAAACGCTTCGTCATGTTGGAGCTGCTTCCTCCCTCGCACCAAACCTCCTTACTGCAGCTGCTGCATTTTGCTGCGTCATTCTCTTTTGTTTTTAGTGAAGCTAAGCTAAACTCTGGAGCGTTTGCTGCGGTCGGCCACGGTCCAGGACTGGAAACAGAAGGACTCTCTTCTTCGTGCTTTGTTGACGTAACAAACGAGGTGACGTTAGGTCGGCGTAGCAGCTCCTGGCAGATAAGAGACACTTTGATGGAGTGTAAAATGCTCACTGCAGTTCAGTCAGGAGCTGAAATATGCAGAAAGTCGGGAACCGACGAGCAGAATCCAAACACACGGGTCTTTTAGAATCCAGGGTTCTTGGTAATTTGATTTTGGATACAACTTGGAACCGGTTCTCAATACCCAACCCCATACAAAGGGATGCAAGTTTTCAGTGAAGTATTCCTTTAAGAATCTAAATACACCCACTAGTCCTCCTTCAGAGAAAATGTGTCTGAACCAACGGACCTGCCACCACATCCTTGTTTTGAAACTCAGTCCGTCTCTGGTGAAAAAATATCCTACCAGAATTTTTGTCCAACCCTTCAGTCAGCCTTTTTCCCTCCACACTGTCAAGAGTAACTGTGAATTGTGTGTCTGCATTAAGGAGGCATGATGCCGGTCATATTTACCTTCATGTAAATCATACGCACACATTTTATCTGACTTGACAAAAATGCAACGTGACAGAACGTTTAATGTGCTGGTTTGACGGTCTCAAGCAAGCGTCAGGTTTCTGCAAGTTAATTTAAATACCATACTGACGTGAACCGAAACCCAATAACTGCCTGAAGGAAGGAAACCCACATTTACCAGCTTTCAAAAAAAAAAATTTCACAAATGCTCAGCAGTAACGTAAAGTGAATGTGATGTGAAGCAAATGGGCAAAAAAATATGGGGGAACTGCTGTTGTGGTTTGTGAAATTATCTCAAAGCGCTGAAGAAACCTCCAGCTATCAAATGATCATGTTTTGGAGTGAATAGTTTTTATAGTAACCCTCGCAGTTTATAATGACGGATGACATAATCAGCTGTTTGCCTGTACACTGGAGGTGAAATAGATTTTCTTAAAGCCATCAAGAGGGCAAAGCATCTCTGCTTTTCATAATGGATTAATGGAAAAAGGAAGTACAGGAGGTAATGACTGGCTCTTTATCATTTTAAACTCTAATATATGGAATGACAATTGATCCAAGCAAGTGCATTTAATTAGCTTTTATACAATATCCTTTAATTAAATCATTACAGTTGGAAAAAAATCAACAGGCTTCATATTCATTACTGTGTGTAACGCACTGTCTGCATCACTGCTTTCTGCTGATCTGCCAAGACAAGCCAGTAAAGTAACTGAACAGCTGACAGGCAACATCACTGTTTGTTTAAATATAATGGTGGTTTATCCCACATCAGACACTGGGAAGTTACCGTGAAAAGCCACACACACACACACATACACACACTGTCAATAATGGTTTTCAGTTTGTGATTATTAATTTTGAAGTACAAGGCGATAACTGCAAACACAAATTAAATCTGACAGCGGTGCCAACTGCCGCCTAAGATCTGCTCTACAGAAAGCTGCTCTTCCTTCACACAATGCTTATCGTTTGACTACAACCAAACACGCAAATTTACAAAACCTCGTATGAGAAGCAGCTATCTCAATAACCAAATATTAAACCACATCCTCTTTAATCAAGTTGCTTGCTACACATGCCCCAAAACCCCTGGCCTGAAGGGACACATTCAAGCCACGCTGCGTAGCAGGGATACACGGATGTGCAATTATGTGTATTATTTAAATCAGATTTCAGCTGTAGTCTTGCGTGATGGCCTGCTCACTCTGGGTTCTTGCAAACAGCATGTGCAGAGGTTTTAAGATCAAGAGCCGCACATACTGAGACGAGACTCAGCAGCCTTGATAAATGTGCTGCACATCATGCTACGGTTGTCAGCCCAGCAAGCCTGGGAGCAAATGAAGCATGTTTGATACAGACAGCAAGGAAAGGGTAACACTTTGTATTGTCTGAAATAAAATGACTGCAGCTGCATCACCTGGCTGCATGAGAGAGTCCAACATCAGGTTTAACTTCTTGCTAAGTTACAGGTGTATAAAAAGGCATGCAGATTTTAGTCATCAGCATGGTTGTTTTTGGTGACATCATGCAGCCAGTGAGCTGCTGCATGTTTGCAGAAACCTGAACTGGCAAAAAACAAAGGAGCTCCACAGTCTCATACCACTTAGCATCTACAGTAAGTCACAGGTTAGAGAGGAAGCACGCCTCCATCTCCCTATATGGCTGCACAGCATGCACAACACATGCATCCATTAGACGGGCAAACAAACACGAGCTCGGGGCCACAGCAGAACATGTAAGCTCTTAGTAAATGGGGTTATTACCTGGGCTCCGGGAGGATGATTTTCTTGCTCGCCCGGGCCGCTGGAGTAGATTTGCTCTTCTCCATCGCCATCAAATAACTGACATCGGCGAGCACTGCTTCGAGGTCCGCCATCTTTCGACCCTGGGACGATCCAAAAATCAATAAGATAACCGGGGCTGGTGATGGGTTTTGTTTCAGGGGATTTGTTAAAAAAAAGAAAAGCAATGTCGTCCTCCTCCACCAGATGAGACCAACATGAAGGTGCGTGACAGGACGGCGGGGCTGACCATGGACCGGAGAGGCGTCGTTGTCTCCGGGTTTGCTGTAGTAGTCTTGTTCACTTCGCCTCAAACTGCCATCCTTGTGACAGAAAAAGGGAAATTCAAGAGGGAAGACATTGGGTGACAGGTTGCGCGAGAAATACAGAGTCACCAAGGCCCGCTAGATCCCCGTCCTGGTAATCCAATTTAGTGCAAGAGATGCAGGGTTTTTTTTTTTTGTTGTGAGGAAAAGGGGGTGGAAGAAAAAAAACAAATACAGACTGATGATTTCTCGTTTTGAGGCCAGTACTTTCTTTACAGCTCTGTCATTTGTCTCACACAGACAGGTAGATGCAACCAGATGCTGGATCTGGAGGCAAATGCTGTCAAATCCCGCAGGACTTCCCTGGTCCTCTTAATGGAAATGTGTCCAAACGACTGGGCTTGTCTCCAGGTTTCGTTAAAAAAAAAAAAAAAAAATATGTAAACACTGTGCTGTCGAGAAAAAGACAAATGAGTCTAGTAATAAAAATAAAATAAAAAAAATACGTGACTGGCTCTTTAGATGCTTTGACAGCAGAAAAAAAAAAGGGTCTCAAACAATCAAGTGAGTCCGGAAAACAGAAGGGAGATTCAGGAGGGAGGACACCCGGAGACAGGTCGAAATGTGTATCATCAGGATGGTAAATATCACAAATCACAAGTCTCTCAGGCCGTCAATAAAACCACAAAAAAACACAGGTTAAATACGAGCCAGGACTCATAATGTGCATCCCTTAAAAAATAAAAAATAAATCTACACACCAGTGTTGTTTATGTTGCTGCTGCTTGGCTTCCTGTAAAAGGCTGAAATGTTCCCCAACGGCTCATCAATCACACACACACACACAAAAAAAAAAAGAAAGTCGCCTGAAAAGATGCGTTTAAACACCCTTTAAGAGGTTTAGCACCAAAATCCAGTAGGCTGTTATCAGCTAATCACAAGCCAAATCCTCCGACAGCTAACTTGTTTTAGCCTCCTGCTGCTGCCAACACCGACATTTGGGCTCGTCTGCTGCTAGTTAGTTAGCCACCACGCTAGCTAGCAAAACGAAAACCCGCTAGCCAGGAGGCTAACTATCGAATAAGGTGTGCGAGTGAGTGGTTCATCGATCGATACATCTAGTTTTGGATCATTTCAGTCAAGCAGATGAACACCCTTAAAATAAAATAATAAAAAGTCCCCTGTTGCCAGCAGCAAACGGAGCAGTTAGCTGGCGGACTGAAACAGAAACACTGGCTCGGTTTCAGAGATTTACTTAATAACGTGAAGCTAACGGCTGCGTGCAAACTGGTTAACTGGGGAAGTCTTGCAGCGTTTCCGGGGGAGAGAAATAATAAGGAAACACACAAGTCTTATGGAGCCAAGTGGGTTCAAAACTAAAGGCAGAATCACACAAGATAATCCAGCTGCTTGTTGAGGTACCCCGAGCGTTGAAGACGGTCGGGGAAACCCAGCGCAGAGCTGCTGGCTGCGGGCTGCTGAAGGAGGAGGAGGAGGGGAGATGGAGCTCCGCCGTACTTCGCTTGTTAAACGCTAACTTTTCCTCTTCGCCGTAAACTGTGGCTAACAGATCGGGCAACTTGGCCAACGACACCTCTGACCACGCTAGGTAATGTGAAACACCTCATACGGCGCTGTGCTGGTAGGCCTCCCTCGCAAACCGACCGCACAAGTGGTCGATATCTGAAATAAAAACCGAGCGGGTCGTCGCTACTCCGCCTGCCCACAAGCGACTCCTGCCTGCCGGGCTACCCGAGCTGCACGCTCGGCTAGTTGAGAGCTGAAGCTAAAGTGTCCGTCCGCTGCCTCCCGGGTGTGGGCCAGCCGATCCGCTCCTCTCGATCAAGCTGTTCGTTTCCCAGCTCCAATATGGCACATGCTTACTTGAAGTCCCGCTTCGGTATATTTTTCTGTAATTTTTTTTGTGAGAACAGTTGCACTGCTTGCTTTGTGGTCCAACTTCCTCCCACTGCGGCGGGGGAGAGGCTTGTAAAACCCGGAGCGGGTCCACTGGTGGCTGGATCCGGACCACATGGCCGATAGGTGTTTTTTTTTAGAGGAAAGTGATTGTTTTATTTGCATTTTACAATATTTATTTATATTTGAATTAGAAATAAATCCCGTTGAGCTTCATTTATATTACTTATTGTCACAGCTTCATAATTAGGACACCCCTTTATTTTCTTTGTCAGTGGTGATTTATAGGCTACTGCACCGACCAGCCTGTAGACAGGAAATAACCCAGAGTGGGGGTTAATTGGGAAAGCAAGAACAACACATTTAGGCCTTTATGAATCGGGTAAGTGAAAGCTATAACCTCACTGTAGCGCATTTAGCACACACACACACACACACACACACACACACACACACACACACACACACACACACAGGCCTCACCATCCCTGTATTCCTATGTCAGTATATTAACAAAGTTGTTTTTCACATTGAAGCTAAGTGTTCACGAAGCTGCAGCCTCTGATAATTATTATTACCCTATAGGATGCTTAAGTGAGCTGGATGTGTTGGTTTGGTGGAAACACAGTGCCGTTTCCTGGACAGCAGAGGTAATGCTCCTAACACACTGCAATGGACAGGCCCCTAATAGGCCTCTGCACCATGCATCAAAAACAGGGATATTTTATGCCTTGACTGCATGGGAAAACACGTGGCAAACCATTTACTTATAGGTAATAATCTCAGCTGAAATAATAATAATAATTTGATAATCAATTAATCTAGTAATGATTTAAAGTAAAAAAAACAAATGTGGGGATTTTCTTTGTCCTGTATGATAGCAGGCTGAATGTGTTTGGGTTTGGACTGTTCGGTTCAACTCATCACGCTGGGCTCTGGGAAATTATAACAGACACATTTAATCAGTTGATAAAGAAAATATTAAGCAGATTGATTAATAATAAATATAAATACACCACAGTGAAAACAGTAAAACACTTTATTAATAATAATATTGGATCGGGATCACAAGATGATTAAGAGAAAGAAAAAACTTGTCTGCTTTCTTCTTTCTAGATAATTTTACTTCTGAAGGACTTTAAACCACAAAACAAGGGGGGGACACTTTTTTGATTTGATTGATTGATTCTTTGTTTTTAGGATTCACAAGTGAAATAGTTTGAGAACCTCTGGCCCAAACAAAACAGAAAACGGCTCAAATGCTCTTTAAAAATAAATAAAATAAAATGTTTACTTTATCTACAGGTGCAACTAATGATTATTTTCTTTTAATCTATTGTTTGTTAGTTTTTTTTACATTAATTGATGAATCATTTAGTCTATAGACCTCTAGGAAATTATGAATAATGCCCAAAGTGATACCTTCAAATGTCTTGTTTTGTCCAAACCAACAGCTCAAAAAAGTTTTTAAATTTAAAATAATATAAAGCCGAAGAATAAGGCACATTTTGACATTTGAGAAGCTAGAATCAGATAATGTTTGACATTTTTGCTTCATAGTCAACTTAAATGATTAGCGATTTGTAAATAATTGACTCGTTTCAGCTTTTAAGTTTGACAAAATGTGTTACTTGCTAATCTTTGATCCCATTTACTTCACATATTTTAGTCAGCTTGACAAGCTATTCACCATAACATTGTGTAAAAAGAGTGTGGATTGTGTGTTAGATAAGCAGAAACACAGGTAGGAAGTCAGTAAGGTTTAAGAAAGACATTTTATTCAGCACTGGGAGTCAGGAGGGGTCAGAGGTAAAGGGTCACATGGGAAAAAGGCTTTGGAGTAAGTTGTTACTGCTGAATACGGCGGATGGACTGGATCTGAGGGGTCTGGCAGTGGGAGCCAAACTCCCTGAAGTGTTTGAACTCCCCACAGTGACGATCACACTCCATGATATACTGGTATCCACGATAACCAGGGTACTGGTAGCACACAAATCTGTGGGGAAATCACACAGAGTGAGAGAGAGATAAGGAGAAGGAAGTACAGATGAACTGTTGCAAAAGATTGTTGTTGTGAAAGTCTAACCAGCATTATTTCTGAACTGCTGAAGGCGGGGGGGGGGGGTATGCGAAACACAAATATTGAAAGAAAGGACACTCACGCTCCAGACTGGATCCTGAGAGAGCCAACTTCATTGTTGCACCAGCCCATGGCCTGGAGGGAGGGATAATCGTCGCTAAGCTCACCCTTACGGCCCAGGAAGTTCTCACGCTCGTAGATAGTCATACGACACTCTCTGTGGTTCTGCAGAGGAGGGGGAGAAGAAAAACAAACGAACAAACAATACACACAAGTTCTCCTGTCAGTTAAATCCACAGCGATAATCCCACAAACACAATGTCGACATTCCCGAGGCTAAAGGACAAAACAGAAGGTGTTTAACTCACAGCGCAGGCAATAGGTCTGAAGGAGGTCATCCTCTCAATGTGATAGGCATTGCTGCCACCGAAGGCATCACACTGGGGGTACTCTCCCCTCTCCAGCACAAACTGCTGTCCCTGGTAGGAGGCGTGCTCGTAACCCACCCAGCTGTGGACGAGCAAGAGACAAGAGTTAATAACGATCGCTCTGTCAAAGCCTGCCCGTCTCTTGTCATTCTCCTGTCTGTGGATGTAAAAGTCTGCTTGTTTCTTTATGCGAGTGTCAGTTCACTCACGCTCCGCTCTCCACCCTGAGGGAGCGCACAGTCTCGAAGCCGAACTCCATCACGTTGCAGCACTCAGAGGTGAACTCATGGCGACGGCCCTGGAAGCACTCCTCGTCGAAGACAATGATCTGACGGTGGGGGGGGGGGAAATGCAGGCGTGTCAAGGCAGCATATGGACACAGAACCACATATAAACACCAAAAAAAATACTATGATATAAGTTTAGTTTAAAGTTATAAAGTTGAGTTAGTTGTGATTGTTTAAAAGCACACATGTGATATTAAAATGTAGTTCTTATAGAGTCCTATTACTGTCTACATTTATTCTGCTCTCTGCTAGGAAAGAAATGGCAGCTCGCTCAGTGAAGAGCTGTGTTAATAGTCACATCTCAGGGAAAACCTTTAGGTTAAAAGGCCCTCCAGTCAGGTGATGTTCAAATCTGTGTTCCCATCTGCAGACTCACCTTCCAGTGGCCGGAGAACTTGGTGCAGTGGTGAGTCATCTTGTCTGGAAGTGAGGGGAGGGGAAGCATAAGATGGTTAAAATGGATCGTCAGTACAGAGATGACAGTGACAACAGGACAGCTTCTCTGAGAGGTTAGCTAAACATGCAAGAAAGAAGAAGAAATTCACGAATCAACAGGCAGTAAAAGCATGCAACAGCCAACAACTTTACTTATTGTGCAACAGCAACTAAATGTGTGTATTTCAGAGGAGCAACATAAAATCCTGGATACTGGAATCAGCCTGAATCAATAATTCCCAGACTAAAAGCACAAGAGTCTATTTATAGTTCCTGCACAAAAATGAAGAGGGTCAAAGAAGCCAGAGCTTCATCTAGACTTCTTTCTCCCACCCGATCCACCGCTTTATCTTATTTTCTGCCCATTTCCGCTCTGCTGCTACTGAGATCACCACTGTTGATCTCACCCACTGGGTGCAGCGGCGGCCTGTGGGCCCTGGAGGCTCCAGTGTTTGGGGATGTTTTTTTTTTTTTTGTGAGTGTGGATACGGGGGGCCGCTGTACCCTGGCTGTGCTGCCCTGGCTGTGCTGGCTGGGCGAGGGACAGGGACTCACCTTGCTTTGATGCCCTTGGGGATGTCCTGCCGTGAGAGTGAGAGGAGCCACGCGCCCCCACCCTTTTAAAGCCTCCCCTGGCAAGGGGCCATGCTGAAAGCCCCGGGTCAGCAGCTAGGGAGGGGCTTGCCTTTGTACCCCCCGACAAAAGCGTGGTTAATCTGTGGAGAGGCAGAAGTGCAGACACCACATTATCACCCCGGGCAGGGGACACGGAGGCACAGGAATATCAGAGAGCCACGAGACGAGATCGAGTGAGAGTCGCTAAGAAAAAACTGAGGGTCCAAGACGGCCCCGACAGAGAGAAACTGTCCATTTCAACTAAGGCTGCAACGATTTATTATTTTTACTACAGATTAATCTGCAGATCATCCTCTTGATAATCGGTTAAATGTTTTTGTCCATAAAATGTCATGAAATAGTGTAAAAAGCCTGAAGTGATGTATTCAGATGACTTGTTTAATGTGACCAACAATCCAAAGATAATAAAAGAAAACCATCCAGTTCTCACATGTTCGGAAGCTACTAGCAGATTCTTTCTAATAATAGGTTACCGATTACAAGTTAGGCTATTTAAAATGTAATAGTAGTGTAACTATTCCAATTACTTCATCAAAGTAATGTAACTTATTACATGAAATTACTTTTTGATTGCTTTTCTAAATGAATGTTTTTAGGTGTTAACCATTTTCTTAAGACAGCTTGAGAGGCAGTTTAACTGACAAACTAACGGCAAAGAAAGACACTATGCGCATGAAAAACATGCAAAGTAACAAAATTAATATTATTCAACATAGAGCCGAGCTTTTTACAGAAAATATCCAGACGTAACCCTCAATGTAATCATGAACATTTAACTGTAGCTGTAATTTAATTACATATTTTCCCCAGGTAACTGTAACGGATTACAGTTACATTTATTTTGTAATTAAATGACGTAACTAAATTACACGTAACTCGTTGCTCACTAACACTGCTGATTTATTTAATGCCACTTCCTGCCTCACCTGCTCAGGTATCTACATATTTGATAATCTCAGTGCAGAATGGCTGCATGAAGTCTCTCAGATGAGTCAGTAATATTTAGTTAACAAGTTTTCTTCTGCAGATGGTCGCGTGCTTATGTAACAGAACTGCATGTGTGCAAGCAGATATATGGTATAAATAACATACAGGAAGTTCTTGTGCAACGCTGTACATGTATGTACTTGATGACTCTATGATAGGCTGCTATACCATACCACAATGCTTTAATAAATAAAGTAGCGTTGTAGCAAAGAGTTTTATTAGGTTGCTGAGTTTTGTTATTATACCACAAAAATGCTTAAACAAGGATGATTCTGATGATATACTATGTTGTTGTTTATTGTCAAACAAATCTCATGAAAACATCAAAACCAGCAGTGAACGTATCTCATAACAAGTCCTGTGTGTGACGTCTCCTCTTCCTCTGAGCCTTGGAGCTCCATTGTTGTCCAGAAACTATTAAACCATCAGTGAGCGTCTCTGCTGCACACTGTAGTTTATTCTGACCCACTACACCGTCCTACTGCCCCAAATACTCTCTAGGGCACCAAATGTGGATTCATCCGCCGCTGAAAATAGTCCCCCAACAAATGCACCATTTCTTCCTGTTTGAATAAGATTAGATACGAAAACCTACAGTGACCAGCTCAAAATACTGAGCCTTTTTTTTTAAAACAAATTAAATCAATATTTGAATAAACTACTGGTCCCACCTGACCAAGCAAGACTGTAGTAGCCAAACTCCTGAGCGTTTTGAACTAAACAAAAGTGTGTTTTGAAGACTTACATCTTCAGTAGGAACCAATGTGCTTGGAGCTGAGAGCCGCAGACAGGAAGACAGATGATATTCATGGGATTAATCGATAATAACAACAATTTTAAATATATCATCAGCCAAGCAGTTTTAAATGTTGTCTAAAGCAGTTTTAAATGTTGTCTAAAGCAGTGGTTCTCAAACTTAAATTAGACCATGGACCCCCGTTAGATTAGACATTGTCCCAGGGACCCTGATCTGATAGGATATTTGCTTTTAGTTGATTCATTTATTACAGAAAGTATATGAAACTCATGATCAAAATAGCTGGACCTTCTGTCATTGTGTTAGTACTTAGTGAAAATACACAGTTCCCCTTTCGGCTGGGGACCTCCTGAAGCCCCTCAAGGACCCCACTGTGAGAACCAGAGGTCTAAAGAACCTGTACAAGAACTTCACTTAAATAAAATTGTGAAAAAACATTATGATTTAAATTTCATCTGATCTATCTGAAAGAATAAATTAATTTATAAGATTATGTGGATTTCCAGGTACTGCAGGTTTTTGATGGACACATTTCGCCAGAAAAGTATTGAGGTTTGATATCCGGCCGTGTTATTACACAGAGGGCAATGGGAGCCGCACAGATTACCCAGCAGGATTAGTTCACACCTAATCTGCCTATATCAAACACAATCCCAGGGTGGAAATCATCACATCAGTGGTGATATAATCCAGACATAATCCGGCTGTAATCCACGAATTACGGCCTTTATTTCACCTCTAAACACCAATGAGGAGAATCCTCATTTATAATGCTGCTGTAACTATGATTAATGTTTATGGTGCAGTAAATTCAAAACTGTGTAAGTTTAAAAGAAAATCTTTCTCTCACAAGTAAAAAAAAGTTAAATTCATAAACAATAAAATGCACCCACATGCTTACTTGGTCTACTGTTAGCAAACTTCAAATATTATTAATATTAAGTGTTTTGTATGAGTGACTCTTCTCTACTTGTGCTAATGTTAAACTACAATGAACTGAACATTACCTCCGAATTGTAATTTGGGGCCACAGTCGCTGCTTTCTATTAATTTATTATTTAAATAAATAATTCCAACATTTTTTGAGACGCAGTTTTTCACTACCTTTCCGAGAGTCACAGGAAAAAGTTTGATTCCATCCACTCTCATGTCTGTGTGTTAGATACATATACTGTAGCTGGAACCTGGAGGCAATTAGCCTAGCTTAGCATAAAGACTGGAAGCAGGTGCGTACTCATTGTCTTGTTAGCGACCGAGCTAATCAGCTTGCATCCTGACAGTTAGTGGTTTCAATACATCTGAAAGCTTTTTTCTCCCGTTATTAGCTCTCAATATAATTAAATGATGATGATGACTAAACAGAAAGTAGAAAGAGGCTCAGAGAGATATTGGATACCGGCTGGAAAGCATGTTAGCGGTTAGCTCTCTAACACAACACAACTAATACAGTGGTTTTGCTTATCAGCAAGCCTCTAGCAGGACCACTTTCTGGTGTGATCAGGCTTTTACAGGTGTTGGTAGGTGTATTTTTTTTATCTCTGGAGAGAGCCAGGCTAGCTGTTTCCTCCTGCTGACAGTTTTTATGCTATGTTAGGCTAACCACCACCTGACTCCTAGCTAGATTAATATCACTATTTTCCTCTAAACAAAGCACATGAGCATGATTCCTAAAATGTAGAACTGTTATGGTTATGTAAAGCCGAAATAAACCACACACATAGAGATGTGTATTCTTTTAAATGTTCCTCATAAGGTGCATTTGCAGTCGGAGCCCCGAGGTCGACCGAGTCAGTGAACTCTTTTAGTTCCCTTCTTAAAACAAACTTTAACTAGGAGAGCCTTTCCTGATTTTAGTAGATTGAATTTATTTATTTTTTATTTAACTGTATTTTAATTTCTTAAGTGTTTTCTTGCTTTTATCGTGTATCTTGATCTCTGTCGATTACTGTCTTTTGAAAAGTGCTATTTAAATAAAGACAATTATTATTATTATTATTATTACAAGGCGACACACAAAGAATAAAAACAAGACAACAGTTTACTGTTTTCTCTACTAGGTTCTTTAAAACCAAGAAGTGGTTCGAAAGGATGATTTGAAATAGTGAGTCTTTGTTTTCAGAGAATATGTTGTATTTTTGTGTGAGCCTGTGGAGGTGATAGAGAGAAGGGATTACCTCTTTGTGCCCTCTGGACCTTTGCATTCCCCCTCTCTACGTGTAACTATAGCTTACATCCCTACCTCCCCAACACATGGGGAAAATGTCCTGGTCAGTGGTTTCCTTTGATAGTAAAATGCTTACAGGCAGGCCAGAGGGGCCGGCGGCATTTCTAGGCTATGCGATGACCCGGTGGCTTTGGCACGGGCCAACTGTGATGACGAGAGGCTTTCTATTGTGCTGTGAGCCTCTACGTTTGGCCTTTGCCAGAGTATAAAAGCTTGGGTTGAGTGTTGAAGAGACCAGCACGAGCCAGCCTCCCTCACACGGCACAGCAAGCTATACTAACGCAGGTAAGGACACACAGACACATACATACACACCAGAACATCCATCATAGTGCAGCGGGGCAACCACACATCCAGAGCCAGGGCCCACTCCCTGCCCACCACACCCAGGCAAACCACCCTCAGCCTGGGGTAAGGCCCAAACAGAAGTCCAGGGCCCAAATGAGCCTCCCACATAAACAACACACTTTATTCCAAATCCCATAAACATGCCTACCTACCGCCCCTCTGACAATGTTCACACGTCAACTGGGCCACGCCGAACCTCCATTTCTTCCCCTTCACTTTCTCCTCTGAAGTCCTGTCACTTCCATTCACACCTCTATTTCTGTTCATCCCCTTGTCTTCCTCCATCTCTTCACGCCAGACTCTCCTGAAGCCCCTCACCATGTCTCAGACCGCCAAGTCCGCCTCCAGCCAGGGCACCGACGCCAAGGACAAGGGTGCCCCCGCTCCAGCTGCCTCCAGCAAGGCCACCAAGACCGGCGAGCCCGGCATGGGATCCTACAGAGTGAGTCACTGCAGCGTTAGACGTTTGACATTGTTTGGTTTAGTTTCCTTTGATTCAAATGAATTAATGGAGTGGATTTAACAGAACAGTAACAATACCACTTGTGTAAAAACACATAAAGTATCAGTGAAAGTACCCTATAAGCAGAAAAGGTAGTTTAAAATCATTGTTATATTATTAACATTTTAATGCTGTAAATGGCCAATGTGGAGCTAACATTACACTACTTTATATACTTTATATTAAGGGTTATAGCAGCTACAACATGACCAGAATATTTTTTCTCGTATTTTGTTCTGTGAATAAAATCTTAATCTGCAAAGTAGGTCAGTAACTACAGCTGTCAAATACACGACGTTGTGTAGTAAAAAGTTGAATAAATCCCATCTGAAATGTATAAAGTATCCTACTACAGGTGCATGCGTTGAAATAATTTATAGAGTTGTGTTAAAATGGAATATTTATACAGTCAAGCAAGTAATTTCTTCTGGTTCTGTATTCATATTAGTACTCTGGAAACCCTCTAACAGGAGTTTTGATTAGAGGCCGCTGAGACGTACAGAGGACACGGCGCTTGTTGTCTGGTTTTAACTTGTGCGATATCTTCCTCTGCGCAGATCATGCTGTTTGACCAGGAGAACTTCCAGGGAAGGATGATGGAGGTCCAGAATGACTGTATGAACGTGTGTGACCGTGGCATGGATAGAGTGCGTAGTATCATTGTGGAGTGCGGCCCGTAAGTGGAACCTGCTCTGAACTGACATTCACATGTATTTCACTGTTTTCTTTCCCCTAATTCCTCTCTCCTGTCCTCTCTCTCCCCTTGTGCCCCCCCTGTGCCCGGCGGACCCCCTTCTCCAGCTTTGTTGCCTACGAGCAGACTAACTTCCGTGGGGAGATGTTCATCCTGGAGAAGGGAGAGTATCCTCGCTGGGATACCTGGAGCAACTCCTACCGCAGCGACTGCCTCATGTCCCTCAGGCCCATCCGCATGGTAACAAGTGAAACAACACTGTTTATACATTAGCTTATGTATTAATTATAAAATCGCTTTCGTTTAGTTAAGAAGAAATGGACGATATTTAATAAGAACAAATGATAAACGGTCTAAAAACCAAAAGCAGCCTCATATTTGAGCAACTGGAACCAGTAAATAGTTCCTTATTAAGTTTCTGTCAGTGGACAAATTGATAGATCACAAATTGTTTCACCTCCTGAGACAACTTTTCCAGTCTTAGATCCTAAATTCTGCAATTTATCCTCTGTACGGTGGCCTTTTTAGGACATTTTAAACTCAGCTCTACTTTGTGTTTGATACATTTTCAGCACTCTCAACTAGGGCTATATTTTTCAATAACAGTATAACAAGTGTTCAATAAATATTCAATAAATTTTAGATTTTATTCACTTGAATCACACACGAATTAGGACTTGATCTTAAGATGTTTATTTTGTTGAGGAACAAGAACTGAAAAAAGCCTTTTATTTATTTTTACTCATGCATATTTGTTGACAAAGATTTTATCATAATTGTTTTGAATGTTCTGCCTCAGATTTGTGAAGTGATCCACTGTTTGGCTTCAAGTGTTGACCATAAAGAAGAGTTTGAACCCACAATTAACCACCATGTTTCTTCAACTTTTACTCAGAAGCAAAAATCAGCCTTTAAACTTGAAAGAAATAACAATTTGATACTTATCGTGATAATTATCGAAATCGAAACATATGAAACTTTTTATCGTTGATAACGTTTTTGGCCATATCGTCAAGCCCTACTCTTAAGTAGTACTTTACCTTCACATGCTAGTACTATGTTATCATTTCTATGTTAGCATGTTTCCGTCTTCATGAGCTGAAGTGTTGAACACGTACGGCGCTCTAGATGAAAAGTCAGAGGACATGAAAGTCATCATCTAGATGCCACTTATACCAAATGTCATGGTCTGTCTGGCAGACACCCCATAGAGCCACAGCATGACACAAAAACAGGAATATAACTCATTTATATAACTTTTAATGTCCCTGTGTCTCATTTCCTCCCTGCAGGACAGCATGGAGCACAAGATCTGCCTGTATGAGCTCTCTGACTTCAAGGGCAACAAGATGGAGATCCAGGAGGATGACGTGCCCACCCTCTGGGCGCATGGCTTCTGCGACAGAGTGGGCAGCGTGAGGGTGCCCGGAGGAGCGTGAGTACACATGATGATAGGAATGAATTCAGTAAAGGATCGAGACTTAGGCCTGTGTTTTTAAGCTGCTCATTTCTCATATATAACTAAAGGGGAGGCTCTGTGCTGCAAATATTGTTTTGGACATAGCTTCAGCGGAAGAAGCCCGAGGCCTCCAGAGTTAAACTACAATGTACTTCTTCATAAAAAGTATGATTCCTTGACTCCACAAGGCTTGAAGCTGACTGCCTGCTGTTTTAATTGTCGACGAATGTTTTTTTTTTTTCCAGGAATGTCTCTTCCTAGTCTCACAGTGAAATACACATCAAAATAACACTAGAACCTCCTCAGTGACCACTGTAGTCTCTTAAACAAGCCCTAGAACCTCCTAAAGGACCCTTAGAAACTTATCAGTGACCACTACAGCTTCCTAAATGAACAGAACCCCTTCAGTGATCACAGACTTTCAGGACTTCTAGGACTTCCTAAAGAACCTCTAGAACCTCTCTAGTGATCTTAAATACCACTAGATCCCACAAAAGGACCTATGGGACCTGCTCAGTGGCCACTAGAACCTCCTAAAGGAACCCTTGACCCCCCTCAATGACCAGTAAACTTCCTCAGTACACCACTAGTACCTCTTTAAGGGCCCCTACAACCTGCTCAGTGACCTCGAGAACCTCCTCATTGACCACTAGAACTTCGTAATGGACTTCTAGAATCCCTTCAATGACCACTACAGCTTCTTAAATGAACAGAACCCCTTCAGTGACCACAGACTTCTTGACAACTTGGACTTACTAAAGAACCCCTAGAACTTTTTGTGTGACCTAAAATACCACAAAGCCCTTCTTAAGGACCCGTGTGACCTCCTCACTGAACACTAGAACCTCCTAAAAGGACCCCTAGAACCTCATGAATGACAACTAGAACATCTTAAAATCTTTCACCCTTGCATAAGAGATTCTTAATTTCAAAGGGACTCTCCTGGTTAAATTATGGTCATAATAAAAGACACTTAGAACCTCACCAATGACCACTAAACGTCCTCAGTGACCACTAGAACCTCCTAAAAGGACCCCTAGAACCTCATGAATGACAACTAAAACATCTTAAAATCTTTCACCCTTGCATAAGAGATTCTTAATTTCAAAGGGACTCTCCTGGTTAAATTATGGTCATAATAAAAGACACTTAGAACCTCACCAATGACCACTAAACTTCCTCAGTGACCACTAGAACCTCCTAAAAGGACCCCTAGAACCTCATGAATGACAACTAAAACATCTTAAAATCTTTCACCCTTGCGTAAGAGATTCTTAATTTAAATGGGACTCTCCTGGTTAAATTATGGTCATAATAAAAGACACTTAGAACCTCATCAATGACCACTAAACTTCCTCAGTGACCACTAGAACCTCCTAAAAGGACCCCTAGAACCTCATGAATGACAACTAGAACATCTTAAAATCTTTCACCCTTGCGTAAGAGACTCTTAACTTCAATGGGACTTTCCTGGTTAAATTATGGTCATAATAAAAGACACTTAGAACCTCATCAATGACCACTAAACTTCCTCAGTGACCACTAGAACCCCTTTAGGGACCCCTAGAACCTCATGAATGACAACTAGAACATCCTAAAATCTTTCACCCTTGTGTAAGAGATTCTTAATCTCAATGGGACTCTCCTGGTTAAATAAAGGTTATAATAAAAGACACTTAGAGCCCCATCAATGACAGGTAGAACCCCCTGAAGGACCTCCTGTCTATTCAGAAACCCTGTAAATTGAAAGGGACAGAGTAATCACATGATATAGTTTATAGGGATCCTGACTTAAAATGCTGAGTGTTACTGAACTCACCATCTCCATGTCTCTCTCAGGTGGGTGGGTTACCAGTACCCCGGATACAGAGGCTACCAGTACCTGTTTGAGTGCGGTGACTACAGACACTACAATGACTTCTGCGCCTTCCAGCCCCAGATCCAGTCCATGCGTCGTATCAGGGACATGCAGTTCCACCAGAGGGGATGCTTCACCTTCACCTCCGCCAGCAAGTGAACGCCACCTGCAGGTCGTCTGGTGCTGCCGTAGCCACGCAGCCCTCTCAGCTTTTTATTTCCCCAAACTCCCCCTTTACTCCAACCCTTTCCTAAATCTCCACCACCGTCGCTCCCTCCCAAAAAGGAAAGACAGAATGAGAGCAAATACACGGGACAACATCAACTGACTTTTTATGGTGCTAAAAAAATAAACATGTTGTGAAAAACCTGAAACCTCCCTGGCTTGGATTACCTTTATTCTTTCTGCAGAAAAAGAACTGTGTGTAGGTGGTTTGCTTTTTGTTTATTTTCATCTCCTAAGGCAGAGCAGGCACTATAATTAAGGGGCCTAAAGTGTTGCTGAGTACAAGGCATTTTTAATTTTCTTTTGGTATGACAAAATTATTTCTGTGGCATTTATTTTAAAGTAATTACACAATAACTGTATTTACGGTTTGTATGTTGGGTTATCAGTAATACATGAGATGTGGTAAATATAGTATTATAGACTCAATACAAGTCCAAATATGAATAGTTTTGGGATATTATCTATAAGATCCAATTGTTTAATTATAGATATACCACATAATACCCACATGTACAAGAGCAAAACGAGGAAACATAGTGCCAGGTAATTAAATTACAATGTTACAGAAATAAATAGTAGTCAGTAGAAATAACATAAAATAAAAAAAACATAGATGAACAAGTAATTTCAGTGAACAATCTAAAGTTTAATAATAAAGTTTGGGTATATACAGCTAATTTTAACTTCTTTAAATACAGTAAGCTTCTGGTTTCTCTGTGAATTATCAATGGACAATTTTCATCAATGTTATTATTATTATTATTATTATTATTATTATTATTGTTATTATTGAGAGTTGTGAAATTACATTACATTTATTCATTTAGCTGACGCTTTTATGCAAAGCGACTTACAACTGATTTGTCAGAGGTCGCACGTGTATATTGGTAAATGTATCATAGTGGGAATTTAACTACTCCGCCACTCAAAAATGAGTTAGTTGCATTGGTGTATTTGTGTATTTTTATAGTACACCAAAAAATGTACTTTGTAACAACAGAACATAAGCCTAAATTTGTGACTGATATCTGTTTGCATCAAAGTAAATAAGTAAAAGTACTCATTGTGCAGATTTCAGATTATATTACATTGGATTATATTTAATTACTGATGCGTTCATGTGTTTATATCTTTAATGTTGCAGCTGGTAGACGTGGTGGAGCTAATTTCAACTACTTTATACACTGCTTGGTAGCTTAACCTGTAACAAAACATCATAATTTATTTGCTGATTATACTCTGTATTAATAATCTGAAATGCAAAGTAATTAATAGGGTTAACTAAAGTTGTTGTGTTGGAGTAAAAAGTAAAGTATAGGCTTCCAAAATGTAGTGGAGTAGAAGTAAGTAGCATAATATGAAAAAAAACAACCTCACTGTTGATTTTGAAAATTATTATTAATTGATTATGAAATTAAAATTTTGTTTTTATCATTTTTTATTTATTTATTATTTAATTATGAAAAATGTTGAAAATAGTGTGAAACGCCGCCACAATTAACCCAGAGCCCAACGTGGCATCTTCATAATGATAAACTACATATAGCTTTATAATTAACACATTTCAAAACAAAACATTATATTTTTATAAACTCTTTACACGTTTTCTGTGTAAGAATCTGACTTTGTAAAGTAACTACTGAAGCTGCCAGATAAATGTAGTGAAGTAAAAAGTAGAATATCTCCCTCTGAGACGTGGTGGAGCAGAAAGTGGCATGAAAAGAAAATACTAAGTACAGTCAAATTTATACTTAAGTACAGTACTTGAGTAAATGTACTTTGTTACTGTTGCACAATTCTTACAACAAAACACTGTGCTGGACGCTACACTGTGCTCCCTCCTCGTGGTGTCCATAATTCCGAGGGCACGTAAAGGCAGCAGTCAGCTTCACAACGCGTCGGTCAAACTGTTTACTAGAAGATTTTTTACCATCTAGCCGAGAGGAAGGAACCATGGCTGCACTCCTGCAAGCAAGGAGAGGTGGGTACATCAAGACAGCAGAGGGCAGAACAAATAAATATTATAATAAGAAACATTATTTCCCCGTGGGACACGATGCTAGCCTTGTGTGCGGAATAAAAACATACAGCTATATCAAACCCTAGTTAGCTTAGCATGCTACGTAACCAGTGCATGTTTTGGGATACTAACCTGTCTAACTGTCTCATTTAACACTATAACTAATAACTTAGGCAGGTAATATCCAAAGGTTTGCCAGCTTTAGTTGTTGATATAAGTTAAGTAACGCGGCGGTTAATTGTGTGCATGATTTCTGACGGTTAGCCCCCTCAGCTAGCTGCGATCATTAACTTAAACAGGAGTCGTGTTGATTTAGGAGAATTAGGTGAACCTGTTGCCAAATAGTTTACCAGCTGTTCTTGTTTGTTGGAGTTTGTTTTTAAGCTGTCGGACTGAGATACAGGTGACTGAATGTGAGGATAACCTTTCACCTAAATAACTGTCAGGCTAACTGGGTAGCTGGTGTTGCCTTCAAGGACAGAGGAAAGAGGAATCGCAGTCCTGCAAAATAACATTGACATAAAGATTATGCAAAACACAAGATTCATTTTATTACTCAAAATTAAAATTAAATTAAATTAACTGTTTGCATGCGACAAGGCGTAAAATGCCACACCTGACAATATGTAATATTATTTTTATATGTCATGTTATGCATTTAAGCTCAATCATTAAAAACGAACAATAAAACACATATTTGAAGAACAAGTAGAGGAAAAACACTCACGGTGGTATTTATAACTGTAGTTACATGTATGCAGAAACCCAGTGGCATATTTTTATCCTTATCTAACTTCATGTTGAGTCATCTCAGTTATAACATCAACTTCCTAAATATAACAGATTACACAGTTCTAGTTAAAACTGATTTCTTATGTGATACAATACTTATTCTTATTCCATGTGAAAACCTGCAAATCAGTCAAAAGTTGCCATTTAATGCTGTAAAATTTACTTTTGTATTGTTATTTATGTTAATATATTTGTTAAATGTCTGTTTTATGGTAGTACAGTACAATCATATATTTGAAAAAGTAAATTAGATATACAGATAGTTACAGAAATCAGACTCAATGCAATCGGACTCCACTATTGCACGACCACATATGTGGACAGTTGGTTTTTGGTGTATAAAAACTACATTTTACTCTAAATTTTAGTTTATAAGACATAAACATGTTGATCATACTACTTTTTTTTTATACCTCAGTTGACCTCCTTAAATAAAAGTTTTTCACAGGTTATGCTTGAGGCATTTAGCACCTGGCTATCACAATTATCTTGGATTGATGAGGTCACCAATCAATGCATATCTGTATGAATACAAGATAGTAACTTCAGTTAGAATATTGATCAATCCACCGATACTGTCCTCAAGTGGCTTGAAGAACATGACCAAGATATATTAACCCAAAATGGAGATGAAATAACCATGCATGAAAGGGTTAATGTGGCATGTAATGATTAATAAATAGTAACATGGATTAATGTTTTGAATTAAATTAAAAGTGGTAAAACCTTTTATTGTTAACATACTTAAGTAGAAGTACCAAAGTAGTATTTGCAGATCATACTATCAAAAGTAAAAAGTACCTCTTAGGCATAAAGTAATACTACTATACTATTATTAATACTATTACTATCACCTAATATTATAGTTCTGATTTTATACATAGCATTGTACAAAGATATTCTACTGTGTATATATATTTTTTTGTATCTCTAATTTCTTATACCTTGTCTTTCCAATAAATGGCAACAAGAGTGGAAGGCAAAGGAAGATTTTAACTGTACGGGGAAACTTGGTTTTTAACAGCATCTGACAATAAACGCTTTGACTTGGATATATCAGTTTTATGTCTGAGCTTTCTCTGCACTCCCTGTTTTACACTGTGCTGTCAGCCAATCAGCTCCAACCACATAAGAACAAATCAAATGTAACCGTGAATTCTGTGAATCATTACACCCGTAATAACATCATGAGGGCGTCTCTGGTACGTCTTCTGTGAGATTTCTTATGCCAGTTTGGGATAAATGACACCGTCTCATTTTATAACATGTTTTTCTTTTCACTCAGCTGTCAAACACAAACACTTTGTCACTGGTCTTTCATTAACATGTTTGGAACTTGTGCAAGTGTGACATTTTTCATAAAATCCCCCACCAGAATTGGTTTTCAATCCATTTGAGCTGAGAAAAAGACAAATAAAAAAAAGAAAAGAACTGATAATGGCGCCACATGGAATATGATTGGCAAAGTTATTAGAGTTCATCCTGAGAGGATCATGAAGGTCTAAATGGCAATGCATCCAATGGTTGTTGAGATATTTCACTCAGAAACCAAAACTTTTTTAACATTTAAGGAAAACCAACAAGCTTCATCCTGTGAAGAACATATTGTGCAAAATTTCATGACAATTATTTAATAGTTTTTTTAGATATTTCAGAATCAGCCATCCACAGTGACATGTTGCTGTTCTGAAGTCTTTTCACTTTTCTCTCCCTCAGCTCTCGGCTTGTGTCTCAGCGGTTGTCGAGGCCTGTCTCAGCTGGCAGAGTTACCAGAGACCCATCAGATCCTGAGACAGACCTGCAGAGACTACGCTGACAGGGAACTGACCCCCATCGCTGCCAAACTAGACAAAGAGCACAGCTACCCTGCCAAACAGGTACGAGCTCACTCAGAGCTGCACAAAGTGATGCTTTAATACCGACATATGAGATGAACTTTGATCCAATTTGTTTGTCGTCGCAATCCAAGATTTCAGATAAGAAGCTGTAAACAGCTGCTGAAAGGATTAGGTCACAAAAATGAGTTATTGCAGGTTTAAGGTATCCGACACGTTACTGTCAATGCTCTGTCCAGGTTCAGGAGTTGGGGGCGATGGGGGTGATGGCCATGGAGGTGCCAGAGGAGCTGGGTGGGGCTGGGATGGACTACCTGGCGTACAGTCTGGCTGTGGAGGAGATCAGCAGAGGCTGCGCCAGCACTGGCGTCGTGGTCTCTGTTAACAACGTGAGTGCAGTCTGTCGGCAACGATAAACGTGTAAATATACCTGGTGTATAACTGGTTCTGGTCTCTGGTGATCCACTCTTAGTCTCTCTACATCGGGCCGATATTGAAGTTTGGTACAGAAGAACAGAAACAGCAGTGGATCACACCGTTCACCACCGGAGAGAAGGTGGGCTGCTTCGCCCTCAGTGAGCCAGGTAAATGTGCCACCTCACTGTCACCCAACCCAAACCTGATGTGCTGGAAGCTTTGTTAGTGTGGTAGGAAACATGGACACGGACGTACCTGAATGGATATAAAACTAGCCTACATTTAACATTAAAGGAGACCTACTGCTTTTCCAGTCCTATATTGTAGTTCTGTGACGCCTGTATAGCAGCTTTGCATGATTCAAAGTAAAAAAAAAACTGACTGACTCTTCATGCAGGCCTTCATTTCAGCCTCTGTCTGAAACAAGCTGTAGATGCTCCTGTCTCTTTAAGACCCCCCCCTCTCAAAGCCCACTGTCTTCTGATTGGCGCTGGGCAGAACAGGCAGACTGAGCGTGGCCGTGCCGTTGCTATGGGCGCAAATGACCATATATGGAACACTGTCTCCGTCGTATTACGTGGCCGATGGTAGAAAAAGCAGTTCAGAACAGAGCGTTCAGAACAGGAGGAAACCTGAGGTTTTTACTCACAGGGATTTCTTTTAAATACTTTAATCTCATTTTTTGAAGCTTTGGCCATGTTTAACATGAACATCCAACTTTATAACATTGTAGATAAGTCATAAAATGTGGAAAAGCATAATGTGTCTGCTTTAAAGGAGCTACAAACAATGCTCATCCTTTCATCCCTGTGACGTCACAGGGATGAAAGGGAAGCGGCTGGACTACAAACGAGCTGTTTTCAGGCAGTTCAGAGTTTTCTGTGGGAGATGGGAACTCCCTCTGGGCTGGACTTTGGGCTTTTTCACTTTGGAAACCTGTTACATGCACATAAAAGAGATATAACTCATAAAGGAGAGGGAAAAGCAGAATATCACCTCTTTAACAAGTGACTTTCAAACCGATTTTACCACCAATACTAACCGATTTTTAATTAATTGAATCTTAGGAGCGCACACCAGAAGCAGGTCCACGCACTCTGCTAAACAGTTTCACAGTTCCAGGGACTTGAGATCTCACGTGAATCTCGTGTGATCGAACGTGACCGGTTTATACATTTTATTGCGCGAGCAGATACACAACACGCTGGTGACGCTTCCCGCTCAGCTTTTGAATCCTAAATATCGTACGTTGCATATTTATGAATCAAAATAGGGGAGCCTCGATCCAGTTGGTGACCTTATGATTATGTTTGTAAAGTCCTCACACTCAGGATCATTTGGGCTGATTGTCTGTCCCGACCAGCCTCGTGTCGGGAACGAATCGGACCCAGAATCAGTCTAACTGTCCTCTAGTGTGCAGCCAGAGTAAAAGGAGGTCGCTGACTCGGCTGACCTGATAAGAACGTGTGTTTTTCACATCCAACAAACTAAAGCTGGTTTGAATCCACACCTCTTGAAATAAAGTGATGTTTTATTTTAATCCCAGGTAACGGCAGCGACGCGGGCGCAGCCTCCACGGTAGCTCGTCAGGAGGGGGACGAGTGGGTGCTGAACGGAACCAAAGCCTGGATCACCAACAGCTGGGACGCCTCCGCCACCGTCGTGTTCGCCACCACGGACAAGAAACTCAAACACAAGGCATGACGCAGCACGTTGGACCTGATTTTATGTCCTCAGCATGGAGACAAAGAGTGGATTGTTGTGCAGAGCAATATAAGTTTAACAATCCTCCCTCACCTCCGTTTTATTTCCTCGTACTGCTGTTTGTCTGGCGTGTCTGCAGGGTATCAGTGCCTTCCTGATCCCCATGCCACACCCGGGCCTGTCTCTGGGGAAGAAGGAAGATAAGCTGGGCATCAGAGCCTCGTCCACTGCGAACATCATCCTGGAGGACTGCAGGGTGCCGCTGGGCAACATGCTGGGCCCTCGTGGCGCCGGATTCAAGATCGCCATGGTATGTCAAAGCAGAAATGAGTCACTGTGACACAGAGGCTGCGTTTACATGGAGCCTGTTATTTCAAAACAGGAGCTGACTAAACATGTGTCATGTAAATACTTCAGCTGAAATAAACTAGCTTGTCTGTGAGGTAATTACAGAGTTACACGCAAATGAGAATATTACTCTTCAGAGAAGTAAACAAACACAACACACAACGGACATTTCCTCCCCACATGGAGACGCTATTAACTTCTTCATAACAGCATAAACAGTACTGCGAACCGATTAACATTTATGCCTGAAAACTTACTAGTCGCTATTTAAAGGCTACTAGTACTTATTTATTAGTTACTAGTAACTATTCCCATTTTACTAGTTAGTATTAGGGTTTTACTAGTAACAACTGATTAGATACTAGTTAGGGCTGAATGATTAATCGTTTCCAAATCAAAATTGTGATTTGACGAGCTAATCGTGAAGACGGCGATTAAAATATAGGTTAATTATACAACTGAGCTGTTTTAAACAGTCATGCAGTCACAAATTCTGTCAAGAAAAGACACAAAATACTCATAATGTCACAAACTGGATCCCGAGGGAAGAAACAAGGATGTGAATTTAAATTATAAAGTGGTGCACTCTGAATTTGAGCGCTCACTCTTTCCACCAACAATGGGCGGGAAAAACGCTCTCGAGGTACAAACGTTATCTGCTGTGCTAAGAGAAGTTTTAAAGCGAACAGATTTATTTATTTTTCTTTTAAACAGGGGTGGACTAAACCTTTAATTCCCTGAATTTCTGCTGCACTTCTCAACATGCTCCTCTGTGTGACATTAAAATAGATTTCAGTGAGATTCAGCAAACAGATCATCTGCCTGTTGAACGACTGCAGGAGTCACTACAGCAGCAATGGTGCCAAGATGCAGCTCTCTCTTTGTGGAAGGTGAAATATCCTTGCAGCACATCATTGTACCAGCAAGTTACTAGTCTCCGCTCTGGGATTAGAGAAACCTCGAGCTATATTTCTCCAGGAGAAAGCTGATTGCTTGGCGATGTATAAAGATCTGTAGTACCCGTCGCAAAGACGTCAGACAGAGAATGAGACAGCAGAGCGGTGGCCAGATCAATGAAAAGATGATTACATGCAGTGATGGGTGCTTTAATTCAAAGTTATTCCCTCTAAACTTACAGTGAGTGGCCTCGAGAAGTCTAACCTCCTCTCTGACACACCCACGTTGAATTCAGGAAGAAGCTTCTGTCTCTAATACAGTTAAAATAATGTTTCCAGAGTGTCATGTGAACACGTCCCGTTAACCAGATTTCTTCTGTTGCATGCAATCTTCACTGTGTCCTTCAGCAAACCCTGGACAGCGGCCGGATCGGCATTGCAGCTCAGGCTCTGGGTATCGCTCAGGCGTCTCTGGACTGTGCCGCAGACTACGCGCACAAACGCACCGCGTTCGGAGCCCCCATCGGCAAGCTGCAGGCCATACAGGTAACACGGCACCAGCGTAGCTCTAAAAACACCGAGAGACGGGCTCAAAAGAGAACTACTGGTCAGTTCTGTGGGTTAAAAAAAATGACTTCACGAGGGCGACAAACACGATCAGACAGGCTGTAAACAACTTATCTAAACTAGCTACTAAGCCGTAGCTGACGGTCTGCAGTTACGCCGGCAAAGCACAAGTTGGCGGTTGGGTTTCTATGTTCCACTGTGTTGAGCTGCTGCTTCTTCTTCTTCGTTGGTGTAGGCTGCTACAAACAATCATTAGGGCTGAACGATTAATCGTTTTCAAATCGAAATTGCGATTTGTAAGAACACGATCAGCTAATCGTGAAGACGGCGATTAAAATGTGGGTTAATTATACATCTGACCTGTTTTAAACAGTCCTGCAGTCACAAATGTATTCCGTTGTCATCCTTGTGCGCCATACACTTTGTTGACGTGTTGTAAATTTGTCATTTTGTGTGCTTCAGCTACGGATAACAGCTCTGTGAGCCCGCTTCGCTCTCTGCAGGCTAACGTTACATATCCACATGGAGCATTTCAGAATAAGAGTGTTTTGCCTGTATGATTATGCTGACTTGTTCCGATTTTGCTTATTTGTTCAGTTGTCCTTGATTTTTGTGCTTCTACTGTGGTTAAGTAGCTATGTAGTTAAATTGTGTCTTTTTTTTTTTGTCAGTTTTAACTGTGTTTTTTATGTTGATGTACAAACGTGTTTTATTTTGAAAATCTACCGGATTTTCTCTGCCATTCTGTGTCTGACTTCCTGCCCGGTTCAGCTGCGTTGTGATGCTTGATGTGACTTCAGCATCGGATCATGCTGGAGCTGATCGATGTTGAACAGCAGTTACTTTTAGTCAAATTACTAAAATGCAGAAACAAGAGAAGGCCCTCGGACCAGTTGATCCAGAAGAAGAAGAAGGACAAGCCGGGAATGCGTAGGGGGGAAATCACAGTTCTTCTGGTTTGCATTGCTACGACGTGTAGTTATGTTGCGTTCCAGCCTAAAACCAAAAATAACATAGGCAACATATTTCTACATGAATTTAGATGTAGAACAGGTTTTCCTATATGAGAGTATATATTCTTTTAATGACACACAGGCAAATGTACTTCATGTTGCAGTTTAGTTTGTGGTTTACCATCTATGTGACGTCATTCAGCTGCTTCTCGTGAACTCGGAGTTCAGGGGTAGAAACTTTAAGTGGCGTTTCATGGTACTTGATACTTATATTGAGGTCAGACATGTCTGTACTTGCCTTACTGTGTGGATGCGATGCAGAAGTATAAATTGGCCTTAACCGTGAGGGTTTATTAAAACTGTCTTGACTGCATGTTTGTTGCCCTTTAAGGCCTAAAAATCAGGATATCTTGTTTTTTTAAATCTCTTCTGCGAGTCCCCTAACTTTATGGAAGTGCTATGCTTCCATATAATCACAGGAGAACTCTTTAAGTTTATAAAATGTCAGAATACAGTTAAAAATGCCGTCAGAAATAGTCCAGGTAATCTACATTATGGAAAAATGGAAAAATTGACTTTCTCCTTAATGCCTCGCGCAGACTACACAACTTTCAGCGTCGGCAGGTGGTCGTGCCGCTCACGCTACACAACTTGCCGTCTTGTGACGGCAGTCTTGAAGTCGTTGTGGCGTTCACACTACGTGACTGATCGGTGACAGGGGGTCACACGCTACACGAGCTGACTCTGTCACCTGACGCTGCTCTCCAAACCAGGTTTAGTCAACAAAACACGTGAAATGTGAAACAGGAAATGACGCAAACCTACACACAAAATTATATAAAGATTGAAATTATAAAGACAAAGAATCTGTGTGAAAGGATGGATCAGGTAGCAGGGATCGACTGAGCTACAGAGAGAGCTGCAGGGGAGTAAAAAGTGTTTTGCAGTGAAAAAGTAGCTGCCTGCTCTGATTGGCTGGATGTGGATGTCACAAGAGTCGGCCGACTCTTCCAGATATTTGGCGTGCTAGATATCTGGCAGACGTCGGCGATGTGTCATCATCATCACGGAACATAAAGAACAGATGACCCTGAGGGACATTTATTAGAGACATGGGGCCCCGTCATACCCCTATACTTTGCTATATCCAAGTCATGCCCTCCACCTTTATTATTTTCTTTCCCGTGTACTAGGGCTGCCCCCGACTAAGGGTTTACACGGTCGAATCAGTCGGTCTGTTTCAAGTAGCCGGCTTTTTAAAAACGATAAAATATTCTTTGTGTGGTTCATCAACGGTTATAAATTACCCGAAAGTCCCGCGAGGTGCGAACAACTCGCCACAACACCAGTGAAGCTGGAGCTCGGTCTCTTCAGCAACTGTTCCTCCTGCCACTGCACACATCCACGCTACGCCTACACGCTGCGCACTGACGCCCCAGGGTTAGGGTTACAATTTAAGATTTATTCACGCACTTTAAAAACATTTTTTGAAAGTTTTTTTTCTTTTCACATATTTATTTACAGCATTAAACGTTTAAATATATATTGTAAAAGCCTGTTTATTAACTTACTGGGAGAAAACTGGTAGTTCTACGTAAAATCAGACGCTGAGCACCCCCATATCGCCAAAATGGTGTGATCCTCATTTCGCTGCAAAGCTTCAACTGTGAGACTGACAGTCGAAATCAGGCTCCGCCCAGCATCGAATCTTCGACTACTCGGGGTCAGCCCTACCGTGTGCTCTACCAAGTGTTTTGTGTCACATTTGAGAAGCTGGAAATAAAAGAATCATCTAATCGAGTGTTTTTCACCTTGTTTAGTTCAAACTGGCCGACATGGCCGTGGCGATAGAGAGCGCTCGCCTGCTCACCTGGAAGGCTTCGCTGCTTAAAGATTCAAAGAAACCCTTCACCAAGGTACGCCTCTGATTTAACACGTGTGTCACTTCTGCAGCTTAACAAACACTAACCGGCCTCCGCCTGTGTCCTCCTGCAGGAAGCAGCCATGGCCAAACTAGCGGCGTCCGAAGCCGCCACGTTCTGCTCGCACCAGGTAAGAAACCGACAACAAGAGGAGCGTAAAGGTACCCAATAAACACGTTTTTTAATCATCTTTGTTTTTACTTTAAATCAGGCGATCCAGGTTCTGGGTGGGATGGGTTACGTGACGGAGATGCCCGCCGAGAGGCACTACCGCGACGCTCGCATCACGGAGATCTACGAGGGCACCAGTGAGATCCAGAGACTCGTTATCGCCGGCCAGTTGCTGAAGGAGTACCAATCATAGACGCACTTTGTTTTTCAGGAATTACTTCACATCACTGTAAGCTAAAATAACCTCAGACTGCCTTAAGAGGACGCCAGTGCCAGTTTAAGCGGTCAGGACATGATGTCTCCCAGATGTCCACACAGATAATGAAATATGCTGTTTTATGGGTTTTTGGCATTTCTTCTTTTGGTGCTCAAAAGCATTTTGTCTTTACAGGAAACAACCCTCTTCTTGTCTCTCTGTCGACCGTTTAATTAATTTTAATGATGACTAGGGTTTAAATGACGACAGTGTTTTTCAGTGACATATAATCCAAAATGTTCCGGTTTGTTAAAACACAGTGGAAACGCACGACAGAACCTAAATCTTAAGACCTCATGGGTGCTTAAAAGTTCCGGTTACGGGTCCTGTAGTGGGACAAAAGGGAATAGTCCCTTTTTAAAAGACAGACTCCCAAACTGGAGGTCTTCTCACTGTCTCTCTCCAGCCCAGCGTGACAGGATGTGTCTCAGACAGTTTAACCAGCAGAGGGCGGCGGTGTTCCTTCACGCTCCATAAAGATTTGAAATTCATGAATCTCTTGAAATGCACAATCACACAGTTGTTTTTCAGAATGTACACCAGTTGTTGACAGACTACAGATTTACTAATTTAATGTTCTGGAGATCCTACTTGAATATTTGTGGTGTATTACGTCTGCTGGACTGTAAGAGGCTGCGTAATGAAACTCTGGTTGATTTCAGACCTCTTGTGCCTCAATAACTTGTACATATTTTAATGTAATTTATTGTGTGCAGATGATGACGGTAAAACAGTACTTGTCACAGAGAAATGATGGATTTGATTTCTACTTCAAAACAAATAAAAGCAAGATAAACAGTTAAACTAAGCTTAATGCAGTAAATTCCTTTTTTCCCCCCCTGTCTTCAGGAGATTCAGGAGGCTCGCAAGTTGGTTTTATAACAAAGGTGGGAGGTTTTCAAATCCACGATGAAACATTTCACATCATTCGATATCGATAATTATCAGGATAAATGTCAAATCATTATTTCTTTCTAGTTTAAAGGCTGATTTTTGCTCCTGAGTGCAAGTCGAAGAAACCAGATGGTTATTTGTGGTTTTAAACTTTTCTTTATGGTCAAAGCAAACATGATAAAATATTTTTTCCAGTGAATATGTGTGAGTAAAATTAAGTAAAATCTTTGTTTCAGGCCCTTTTCCGCAACAAAATATCTTAATAGACATATTAAGTGCTGATTAATTTGTGATTCAAATGAATTAAATCAAACATTTATTGAACATTTCTTATTTTGTTATTGAGAAAAATGAATGATTGTTGTAATGCTGAGCCCCGTCCAAAATGTTTAATGGGAGTCTCAGTGAAAAAACAAATTACAGTAGTTATAGAAAAGCTGCTTATAACAATTGTTTTATAAATAATTTGATTTGTGTTTGGAGTTTTTGAGAAAAGGAGACATAATTTTAAGAGACGTGTTCAAGCAATCGAGAAAAACTGTAATAAATGCCGTAGGACAGACTCTAATTGTGTATTTGGTGCAGTGTGTGCTGTCAGACGTCCTGGATTAATTCTGCCTGTCTGTGTGATGATAGAGGCATCCAGGACTTGAGCAAAACTGACCAGGTAAACTAAAGGAGGGGCGCCATTCTCCAAACTTTGTCTGACGGGAGGCCCACAGTCTCTGAAAACTCCTGGTTTTACATAAACAGGACTGATGTCTTTACAACGACGAGTCAATCGAAAGAAAATTAATCGACAACTGTTTTGATAACCGATGATGCCAAAAATGTGAAACATTTACTGGTTTCATCTTCTTATATCTAAGGAATTGCTGCTATTTAGAGTCATTTACAAGGCAACACTTTGTGTTGAAAAGTGGTGGGGACATGGGGGGCTTAGCTCACGAGACACCACGATACGGAACGTTAGGTTCACGAGAACGAGATGAAAAGATCCTTAAACAGTGTTAAAGATATCCTCAATGCCGAGATATATGAGCGGGGGTCTGGGGGGGAGCTCCCCCAGGAAATATTGATGTGTAAACACTTCATTTCCTGCATTGTGGTGAAAGTTTCTGCACCAGTTTCTGCTGGAAATGTTTTCAATTATGTAAAAGGAAACACAAAATTCAGGTGGCAGGTGACATTTCAAAATATATAAATATATAACGGAACATAAGTGAGTGCAGCTCTCAGTCATTCTGTGCTGCTTTCAGATCTGTTTCTCCAGTAGATCAACTTTTGTCATGTAACATCATCCCTGCAGAGGCAACACATATGTAGGCATGATTTAGTCTTCCCTCCTCTTTTGTCATGTTCACAGGGAGAGAACAGAACTGATTGGTGCTGCAGGTTTTGGGGTCATTTTATAATCAGTAAAAAAATTTTTTTAACTTAAATTACTTTTTTTGAACAATGCACATTTGTTTATTCTATATTTTAATTGCATTGCATGTTTTCTTAATGTGCAACTAAACCTTTTTGAAGGCATTTTCATTTGTTATTTCACTGCAAGCTATATTTCAGAATGCTTTTTAACAAATTTTGCTGTAAAGAAGCGGTGGGGACAAAATCAGCCATTTCAAAAAGTGGTGGGGACATGTCCCCAGCGTCCCCAGCGTCCCCAACGTAAATGACACGTGTGTTTTTAATGATAGTAAATGACGAGTCTTTGGGTTTTGGACTGTTGGTTGGACAAAAGAAGCTATTTAAAGATGCACTTTGGGCTCTGGAAAATTGTAAACGACTTAAAATAATCGACAGATTAGTCGATAATGAAAATAATCTAGTCCCTGGGTCAGCCTTAGGTGTTGCTGTGAGCTGACTCTGTGAAACAGTTTAATCCTGGTTCAGACTTTTCGCAGGCTGTTCTTCCGGATCTCCCACACTGTGAATCCCCACCTTCTTTGTGTGTGTTGTTCCTGACTGTGTGCATCCGTGCACGCTCTTCTTCTTTGTTTTGAGGGCCCCTGATTGCTCCACTGGTCCAGATCTGGGCCATGCTTCCTGACGCTGGAGATAATTATGATGATAGTCTGCTGGGTGCATTGTTCAAACACGGCCTCGCTCTCCGTTGGGGTGTGTGAACCAGGGTCTTCTGAATCTTGACGTCATTTTCTGGCTCTTGTGTTGTTTCCTTTATTTCACATACAAACAAGTGCACGTGCAAGAACATAATGTGTTGTGTTCCTGCTGCTGATGACCTGTGCCCTCTTTATGGACGCGAGATTCTGGGATGAAGCATTTGGCTCATTTGGATGCTCATTTAACAGGCCTGTTAGTATGAATAATGAAGCACATATAGTGTCTAAGTCCACACGTATATGATATATTCAACTTTAAATATCAGAACAGGCTCTAAACAACAAATATAGACAGTTACATTTTTCTTTTTTCTTTATTATAAAAAAATTATAAAAAGTAGGTTCTATGAAAAGACTAGAAAAAATAAAAGGAAGTACAAAACGCTGTGCATGTTATAAAATGTAAATCCCCCCCGCCCTCTTTGATCACAGCATGAGGGAGTGTTGGTCTGAACAGGCTTCACTGCCTGCTGCATATTCGGAGGAGAAAAGAAACTATTAAGCTCTGCTGCTTCTCAGGGGCCACACACACAACACTTGAGCCAACCTGCACAACAATGGCACGATTACAACCTCATGATAAAACACTTTATCAAACACTAATCGATCTCTGGGCTGCTTTTATCGGTGAACCATTGAGTTTGTTAGTTACCACACTTTTCAAAAGCTTCACTTGAAGTGGCCTCCTGATGCAGAACGAGCTGATTAAACTCCTTTAGGAGCACGAATAAACTTCTGCTACCTGACAAATCCAAAAAAACACAAAACAAACAGACATTCAGTTCAGTGACAGGGACCCACATTTACAGTTTCATGCTCAGAGTACAACAGTTACACCCACAGAGGCTCCTGGAGGCTCGTGAGCTCCTCTTCAGTGGCACAGCATCACTCTGATGCCTCTGCTGCACAACACATGTCCTCAGTGTCAAAGTGGACTTTCAGTCTACACATAATGCTTCTTGTCAAAGTCCCCGTTGGCTGAGATGGTCTTGGTGGGGGCGTATTTGATGGGGTAGGTGCCTCTCACCCCCTGGGAGAAGGAGCAGCACAGCAGGGTGCCGCCGAGCAGCAGCAGCGCGGTGGCGGCCCAGCCGATGTAGATCGCCGCCCCGATCTCCCTCTTCTTGGACGGGGGCACCTGCGGGTTGTGGAAGTCCACTATGATGTTGTTGGCCATCCAGCAGAGCGGGACCAGCACGAACAGTCCGCTGATGATGTAGATGACCCCTCCGGCGTTCACCACTCTAGCCTTCACCGCCTCATCCTTGATGCAGTTGGTGCACTGCGCCCCGGCGACCGTCACCGTGAGCGCGATGACCCCGAGCAGGGCGGAGATGATGGTCAGGGCCCGGGCCGTCTGCAGGTCCTGCGTCAGGGCCAGCACCGAGTCGTGGACTTTGCACTGCATCTGGCCGGTGCTCTGCACCACGCAGGACATCCACAGGCCGTCCCAGATGGTCTGAGCCACCACGATGTTGGAGTCGATGAAGGCGGTCACCTTCCACGTCGGCAGCCCGCAGGCGACCATCACCAGGAGGGAGCCCATGACGCACAGCGCGAGGCCGAGGGACTCCAAACACGCAGCAAGCATGGCTCTGTTCTCCGTGTCCTCCTTATTCGAGAGATGAAGTTAAAACCTCTTGTTGTTGTTGTGTGTCTCCTCTCCGCGGTCTTGTGTTGATGCTCTGCGTGCGCTCTCGGGCTTTTCATTTAAGGCACCGATGACGCTGCTGCGCCTCCACCAAAACAAAACCGAGAGACTTTTGGGCCAATCAGCTGTAAATGCATCTGCGTCTCAGCCAATGGGATGGAGGGGGGGTCCGCAGGAGCAGCAGCGGCAGCATCTCGCACACTTGCGCGTTCACGTTTACGCACTGGCGTCAGAGAGTATTTACCAGTTTGTGCCGGAGCGCACGAGCTTCCTGTCATTCAGAGTCTGTGGGAGGAGGTGGAGCAAAGCAGCCTTTGGCACAGCATCCCCAAGTTATAAGAGTTTAACCAGTGGTGGACAGTACTTAAGTACATTTACTCAAGTACTGTACTTAAGTAGAAATCTGAGGTAATTGTACTTTACCTGAGTATTTTCTTTTCATGCCACTTTCTACTTCTACTCCATCTCAGAGGGAGATATTGTACTTTTTACTTCACTACATTTGTCTGACAGCTTCATTTACTTTACAAAGTCAGATGTTTACACACATAAAATAAGATGTTTTGTTATAAATTAAACTCCCAACAGCTTGTACAAGGACAGTTTGTACATTTATTGATTGGCTTACATTTAATTGAAAACTATTTTGAGAATCGTTGATGTAATTTTTTTATGTAAAAACATTTCATTTGAAGATTTGCTGCTCTTCCATTTAATTATTTTAATGCATATTTAATCAGTTCAGACTGACAGAATGAGCATTGTGATTGTGCCGCTTTGGGCTCTGGGCAACTATGACAACGTTTCTCACTATTTTCCAAATCTTTACAATCAATTAATGGAGAAAACAATCAGCAGATTCATCTATAATGAAAATAATCATTTGTTGCAGTCTGATACAAAATAGTTCAGCCTTAACATCTATAAAATCCTGCTTTTACACTGTTGTCACACTGGATTATCAAACAATTACAACACTTAATTGTGAATATTGATTTCAATTTCCAATTCAAACCAGAACTAAAAATAAAAATAATCAAGCCAAGAGAATTTAGAAAATAAATAATTTAATTCAAAACAAAATGTTGGCAGAGCACACATTAAGTGGGACAACCTCTTTCTTTCAACTTTAAAATC